TCGTTCACCCTCGAATGGAAATTTCGGTGTAATTTGCCCCTCACATCGCCGACTTTAAATGCCATTAATTATATAAACGCCTACTTACAGAGACTTTTCATTAAAGAATCCGATAGTCTCGAGAGACACTTGTAAAATCACATCTCGAGGATTACTTCTGGAGTTGACGAGCGCTTACCGTCCCGTCTCTCTGCATTTCCGCAGAGACCGGCCTCTACATTATAACGGGCGCGAATATTCCCGCGGAAGATGTTCCGTCGCGAAACTTACTTCTGAAATTACTTTCATTCTTCGACCGGGGATAATAATCCGGTATCATCCCGCGCGTTGATACACCGGCGACTTTCCTGGCCGGAGAAAGGCTAACTTTTCTTTCAAATGTACTTTATGCGATGGCATCGTTCGATGCAAGTTGCCTGCCACAAAGCCGATTGCGGCGTCGAGATCGACATTTCCGTTCGGATACCTTTGCGACGACAACGACGAGATCTTTCCGCTCGCGTAATGACGTTACTCTCTACTAGTCTCGATCCCCCGCGAATCGCGAATTTCCTCTCCCGTAAAGGATCCGCGAGTTTTCCTCTTTGAAGTTGTCATCCGAATGGCTTGATTCACAAAAGTCCGTCGCATTTTTATCGTACCAGCAAAGAATGTAATATGGAAAATAATTTCGGTACGCTTCTGCTCTACCGAAGGCGCGCCACGAGTAAAATTATTTAACTCACCGGAATTTCGTTTTCCGCGCGACAACAAAAATTATCGAAATACATTTTCCTAACTTTTAACATAGCACTCGACATTTAATTCTCACGTATAAAAAATAAGTGTTTGTTTAGCATCGGTAATAAATGTTACGAAAGATTAACGCGGGGGCTTTAGGAACGTCTTATGGACGACTGCGATAATTTTGGGAAGAAAACTATTCATTTCTATTCACACTTTCGCAACTGTGATGCGCTTATTTCATATCGTAGGCAGAGCGATTAACTCGTTCGTCGATAGCGAACGAAATCCTCACGGACTTGAGGGACTTTGCTCTCGTCGGCTCGAGTTCTTCCTCGATGGCTGCTTGAGCTCACTCGGGGCGACGAAGTTTAAATTGTTTTCGAAACAGCGGCTGCAGTCGCGAATCCCATTGACGGAGCGAATATTTGATGCGACCACTTACATAGGATAATTTATCTCGCAGTTTTAATTGCCGTCACTTTCGTGTTAATCAACGCGATAGTTGTATAATTAATACAGCCAGTTGCGTAAAAGTAAATATCAGAGGTATCGAGACGCATTTGACGTTTCCTGGTGTCTAGGATATTTTCCCCCGGGGAATTTACAAGCAAATCTTGGGAAATCAGGCGAATTTGCGACGAAACTGTTCATTGCGTACACATTCCGAGGCGAAGCGAAGCTGCATGTACAGACTCCATTATGCCTGATCGAAGGCAAATATTTGCGGGAGGATATCAAAGTTACAGAGCAGAGGAACATGGTTTATCTTATCGCATCGCTGCACTTCAATCATTCCTTTAGTTCGCGCAATAAGGCCGAATAAATTTGCGTAAACTACTTAAACGATCTATCATAGTTAATGACGGTTAATGATGACAAAATGACGTCGCGATAGCCGACACGTTGCACGAAAATTATGCCGCTGCATTACTGCAACGGTGCTATAACTTTTGACATTGACTTAACCGAGATATAACCGTCAGTGTAACGGTCTATCCAGACAAACTTGCACAGGTGCATAAGCATATACATAAAGATTGATCGGTTTATTTCCTTACGCGTGCATTCGTGGCCCAATGATGAAATCTGATATGTGCAAAGAGAAAAGTCCCCTATTATGAGATAACGGAGTCATCTGTTGGTTCCACCACGAATTTATTGCCCTTGGGGTGAAGTCTGTTTAGTGGAAAATTGATCGTTAGATCGTGTAATCGTCGGGAAAAAAGATTTGCAATTGAATTTGGACGTTGAAAACCTACACTATCTCATAACAGAGGACTTTCCTCTACGTTCACGCGCTGTGCAAGTTTGGCTGGATAGACCGCTACTCTGTCAAAGTCGGGTGTAAATCGGTAACTGTTCACTGTTTTCAGTGAAAATCCACCGATCGACTCGTAGAGAGTATACAAAGAACGTCCTTGTTGAAAAGTGGTAAAATTCACCTTCATCCATCTCGCTTAATTAGCTCTTAGCCACTTCTTTTTTCTCTCCAGCTTTCGCTCAGGTAATTAGTGTATTATACGCGAAAGGCCGCAAACTTTTTAAATACCATTATACAAAGGCAATTAATTCTTCGGGGTCCGCGAAATTGCGCAGGACCGACTGTTTCAATCTCCGGAGTATCGAACGCGGTTTCGGCAACCGGCCGATCGCATCGGCCGCGTACCTTTCTCGCCCCCTCCTCTCCTCCCTCCCTGAAATAATGACAACAGGAATACATCTCTCGGCACGTTGGCCGCGCGCTATCAATACCGCGCGCCGTATCCGGCGAGAATGCGGGCTCTATCGCGCGTCGCCGAAAAAGTGAGCGGCGAGATAAATCAGCCGAGCGAGCGAGAAGATACCGGGCGGCACGTCCGTCTCTCGGCGAAATTTACTGGCAATATTTTTCTTCCCCCGAAAACGGGGTCGGGTCTACGTGTCGCGGCTCCTCCGTCGGCGAACGCGCGCCTCGCGGCCGCGCGAGGCGAAGAGGAACGCGCCGCGGATGCATCTCTGTGCCGCACACGCCGCGACACGCCCGCGCGTGTCCGCAATATCGAGCGGAGGAGCCAACCCCCGCGAGTCCTCGCCCGCGCGGGGCCCAGATTCCGTTTCAGGATCCCATCCATTCCCGCGCCCGCGAGGAGAGGTCCTCCGCCAATCTCCCAGAAGCGAAGCCCCGACGCGGGTTTATTCAAGGGTTTATATCGCCGCTGCAATTTCGGCCCCTCTGTTTAACGTTGACCGCGCAATTTGGGTCTACGACGGGGGTGCTTGGGCGCGTATTTACCCGACATGTTATTATTCTAGTTGCTCTATAATATTGTTGAGTTGCATTACGTAGGCATTATTAATCGCGGAATTATGTCTTGAATGTACATTGTCCATTGGTATGGAACGAGGGCACGGGCGAAGCGATTTCCGGGAGATTAGAGGGAAGCTGCTGGCGTATAATCGAGTCAAGGATTTGCTAGATTGGTGTATCGAACTCCAAATAGTTGGATTCGTAGAAAATTGGAAAAGTTGCCTCTTTATTGAGTCGATGCCGGCGCGCAGTCAAGATACGGCAAAAATGTTTCACCGCAGGTGGGAAAACACCGCGGGGCAGAGTCGGTCCACGATCCGTTCTCTCGTGGTTTTCGCGCGTGACAGCGTCGTCGTCGCGGATCGAGCTCGTCTTGCTTCCGGTTTATTTTCGCGGCCCAGCCCGCGCGGATCAGATTTCAAAATCCGCGCTCCAGGCCCGTGCATTGTGCACTTTACACCGCCACGGCGTTGCGGCGGACCGATAAAAGAAATAAGGTCGCGAGAAAGGAACGCAATTTTCTCCTCGCGTTTGCGCGAGCTTCCTGTTTACAAGTCGGGACGTTTGATACATAAAATCCTGTTATTCCTACATAGGTGTACACGGTCCTGCGATAAGATACAGCGCGGATTTATCCGAGTTATACATCTTTTTCCCCGACCGCCTGACATTTTCCCCGCGTCTGCCTTACGGTTTTCAATTTAATGCAGCATGACGTATATAAATGAATGTGTGCAAACGGACGATCTTAATACTGTGTCGAGGACCGAGTCAACAGCGCGGCGAGCGGTGTTGCGAAACATCGGCCTGGATGAACTCGCAAGTTCATAAAGTTCTAACGAGGTTCCACGGTGGTTCACCTCTCGAGGGGACCGTATGCCGGGGTGAGTCCTCTCTCTCTCTCTCTCTCTTTCTCCCCCTCTCCCCCGCGAACTGCGTTAGGAACTGTTGAAGTTCGGTGGAGGACCCGCCGTGAATTTGTGGCGGATACTTAAAACGCTTTATTACCCCTATTAATTATGCCCTCCTTGCTTTTCCGCCGTTTACAAAAACGCCCAGTGCGAGACTGCCTGTAAGTTTTCTTTCGTGAAAATAATTAAACCAAGTCCGTCGAGCGGGTTCGAGCGGGTTTATCGACTATTGAAAAGTTCCCATTAGTGGCGTGCGATATCGAAAGTTTTATGCACATTGAACTAATAAATAAACATGCGTGTGTGCGTGCATCTTTTTGAAGCAGTTTGAAAGTATTGAGTAAGTTTGAAATTCATAAGAAGGCACCCGAGGTTCGGGACCGCGCTTAAGACTCGCGTTAAAATCTCGTGCGTTGTTTCTATTTTATTTTGCACTTTCCTCTTCCTTTCCCCCTCGCGGGGAGCGAGCGAGTTTAATCTAGCGAGCGGCGAATCTTCCGCGACCTCCTCGGTAGCGCCTCATCTGGAATCGACGGCGGCGCTTAACGCCGCCTCATAAATCCCCGATTTTACGGGACGCGCATTATGCTCGCCGGCGAAAAAGAGTTCGATCGGCCCCCGGGCGCGAAAAAGCACGGCGAAACTTTCCCTCGCGCGTCGCTCGCGTTATGAAACTCGACCAAGTTCGCGGAACGAGCCGAAGCGCTATTACTCGCGCGGGGACGGCGCATGCGGGGTAGAGCGCCCGAGTTTTCGCATTTACGAGGCGCGATTAAGCGTTTTATGGGCCCCATCAATTTCTGTCCCATAAGCACAGCAGCGCGCGCGGGATTAAGAACCAGCTCGCGAGCGTCGGCGTCGAGGAGCGAATCAATTGGGAAACCGCTGCGTTTTCGGCGGTCGCGAATTATTTTCGCTCCCCCGACACTGCGCGAACGGGGGGGGGTTGAGGAAAAACGATTTTCGTGCCTCCCGCGATTTGTATTGTAGATTGCTCCGTTCCGGGCCATTCTTGCGCGCGCGCGCCTCTCCCGTGCGGTTCCACTTGACGATTAAACGTTATATGTGTGTCACAGGTGTCGCGCATGGTATTAGATGTTACCAATGTGGACAGTACAACGAGGGAGTTGGCAGCATTACACCGTGCATTAATTACACCGCACACATGCTGAAGGAGTGCCCGCACTCGGACGAGTGGTGCATCGTAAGTATACGCATATTATTTTTCCGCGCGTTCCCGCCGACCTCCCGGGTTCACAAGTCGAGAAAGGATCGGGCGAATATCATATTAAAATCAAGTTGAGATCGTGTGCAAATCAAGTTGATACTCAGAAGATTTCGCTACGAAATCTGGAAAATATTCTGTAGGTGTCCACGATCTAGTTATATCTTTTGAGGGAGGACCTTTCAACTCTGTTTAATCCGCTCTATCCGTAGTCGTCATCAAATCAAACAGTCCGAAAAATCACGATCGATAACGATTTGATCGTCAACCTGTGAACTCGGGTCAACGAAGAATCCAGTCATGATCGGATCAAACGGTCCGAAAAATCACGATCGATATCGATTTGATCACCGACTTGTGAACCTGGGTGGGACCGTTTCGCGGAGCGCGATTGCCAGGACGCGATCTCGTGTGTGGCCGCCAAGAGTGTGGCCGTCGAGAAAATAAAAATCATATTACACGGTTCCAAAATTGCAACGCTGCTCGAAACATTCGCGCAGCTGGAAACGGAAGAGCTCGCCGAATTCGAGCACTCCGCGAAAAGATAAATATTTCTTTCGCGAGGATAGGCGTCGATGCGGCGCCAACTATCACTTGACACCCTTCCAGAGTCGCCTATAACGACGTTATTTACCTCTCGGCGGACAACTCGCCGATGTCGGATTTATGAGACGAGTCCGCGCAAATTGGCTCGAAAGTCTTCTGCAAGCTTGCACGTCCGCGTTCGCCAGAAAACCTTTCAGTTTCTCCTCGTCTACCGCGAACAAGTTCTGTATATGCGCTACCGGAGGGATTTCTAAAATTGAGAAAAGTAAGTTCGCGTTCTTCAAGAGAAATTTGTAAATGCACTTGAAGATAAATTTATTGGAATAATCGTAGACGATAAATTATCGCGATTAATAAAATTCATACGGCTCTAATGTGAAAACACAAATACGAAGTAAAAAAGAAGTAAGAGCCAAGTCAGGGGATGTTGGTCTCTAAATAATTTAAATTTTAAGTCTAGTGCGAAAAATAATATCTCAGCCAGGGTTTGAACCTGGGACTCCCTCTCGCTAGGCGGGTATCTCACCAATTCGAGCACCGAGGCATGATAAATTATCACTTGGTATTGTTCAAATATTTTAAATATTCATTTATCAAATTTTGGTGTGTACTGCTGCATCCCGCTTGTTTGTTCGAACGCATATGTTTGGAATAGAGATTATCTTTGTACATATCTACTTGGTAAGGTAATACATTTTTAATACGTTAATGCGAATCGAGGTGAGATATGCATTAGGTATGTAAATGATTCGCGTACCGTTTCCCATTTCTGCATTAACTAAATATTGCGAATGTCTGCGCTTTTCTCTCAGCGCGGTGAAATAATTTATGAGATCGCCAAGCTCCGTATTACCGAGAACTTACCTGCCTGCCGTGACGCATGGTCGAGTTCTGCTCTCCCCTCGTCGAAGTAAACCTCATTAAATCTTTCGATCCTTTCCACTCATCGCGCAACAAAGAGAACGACGTTGGCCTGATATGAGAATAAAGCTGGGACCCGTGCTCGATATATAATTTCGCGTTGCAATTTGCTGCAGAGAAGCCGCGGCGTCTTGTCAGAACTCGCCCGCTCCTTGTTACCTTAAATATTTTATTATACGTATTTTCGGAGGAAAGGTGACGAGGGGAAAACATCTGCGTCGCGTCGAAACGTGAAATCGACCAAGTCGAAAACGGGGAATAAACTCGGGGGAAATTTATTGGAACGGGAACGACCGATATTACTTCGCGATTCTCGAATAAGGGGATCAATGGCCTATGTACGTTTAGAACGCAAATGAGATTTCCGCGCATAATAAAATCTCCTGAAATCTCGTGGAATTTACCTCGAATGTTCTACGGAGTCGGGAAGCGCGGTGGAGGTCGACGATGGTCCGTCTGTGTCTGCGACAATGGGAAACGATTGGAAACTCCGTCTCGTCTCGGGGTGAAACGGCACGGAAGCCGTTTTCTCGCGGTCGCATGAATCCCGAAGTTTACATCCGTCGACTTAATAAAACGGTACGATCTAATCAGCATAACGACAGAGGCTCCTCCCGTTGCTTTGTCGAGCTAAGTGAGGCGGCGCTCATCCGCGATAAATCCCTCGCTCCTCTTCCCGGCTTTTCTCCATCGTCTACGCTTTCCTGGTTCGTCCCCCTCTCTCTCTCTCCTTACTTATTTCGCCTTCTGTTTTGCGGGCATGAAAGCTCGCACACCGAGTCGCGTCCGAATGGAGTAACGCGGAGCTCTGAAGAAATCAACTAGTAACGACTCGAGTCACCCTCCACGATCCCGCTTCGATAGAATGAAAACGGGAGGGTCATCAGTCGGCTAACAAGGCAGACGGGATTCGTCGCAAAATATTAATCACTTTGACTCTCCATTTGTTATCCTACAAATGAATATTTATGCGACTTTCTTTCACCAATTCCCCTTTGTGCGCAATCAAGAGCTTGAATTATCACGAGATGTCACGATCATCCCCGAAATCTACTTAATCTTAATTCTTTTTAGATTTCGTCGCGCGTAAGCTCTTCGCGAAAGAAAAATTATCCGTGGCGTCACGACCGGAAAGTGACGGCACGTTGATCATCGATCAACGGCCGATTATATTTTTCGGCGGCGTTAAATTCGCGACTCACAGACTCACAGTCGATCGTCTGTGATTAAATACTCTCCGCGCGGTAGCGGCCGTCGGCCTCCGAAGTCTTCTCTCGATTTCGAGGCAGCCGACAATTTCTGCCGAGTGGAGTTCGATGCCTCCGGGTCGCCCAGGCGCGTTCATTGCAGGCACTGCATTATTGCGCGCGTGCTCGCGTCGCTTCCCCTTAGTGCACCGCCGGGCATTCCGATTTGGCCTTCAAATTAGTGCCAATTGCATATGTCATGTCGCATTAATTAACATTTAACTGCATTATCGGTTGTGGCAGATCTACATCTATGCGCCTCTCTAATGAAAGCATCTTCTCGTTCTCTCCCTCCCCCTCCCTCTCTCTTTCTCTCTCTCTCTCGCTCGCTCGCTCGCTCGCTTTTTTTTCTGGGAAATCCACGGTAGCGATAACGATTTGATGAACGAAACTTTTGGCACATTTAATGTTTTGAATTCGATCCAATTATTTGATCCATCACGTCGATAAAAACCGATCGCCATCATCCAGCGTCCCATTAACGCGCAATGGACGTGTAATTATCTCGAATCGAGTTAAAACGGGAGTATACGGAATAAAATTTGAAATTCGTGTTGCAAAAGCGAGGCGTGTTTCTCATATAACAGCTTCTCTGCCGATTGTGTCTAATAAAATAAACAAGGGCTTCTCTGAAACTCCGACGTAAATTTGATTTACACGACACGTTTGTCTAAAAACAGACGAGATAGTTAAAATGAGCTTGTAATTACGTATAAAACAATTAGCAACAAGAGTTTTTCGTGGAAAAGCAATTTAATAGCAGTTTTCGGTGTCAAACGTTCTTGTTGAAAATTTAGAATAATATTCGAAATTGATATTTCTCGTTAGCCTATGACGCTCTTGTCAGTGAAAGTTGTCCTATTACCTCGAAGAAAAATTGTTCGAGGATTTTTTAAAAATTCTATTTGCGCAACCTCATAATGAACAAGCTGCGTTAGTTATTAACTCCTGGCAACCCTCCCGCGAGCTTAGTGATGCCATTTTCGTCGTAAAAATAATCTTCTTTTAAATAACGGAGGACATTTGCATTTGCACAGCTATCGTTACTTATTAACGGACACTTCTCAAGTTTCAGAAGCACGTACTATTATGAGACTATTTATATTTTATAAGGAGCCTTGATACGGAATACCTGAGTGTTACGATCGCTTTCATGATCAATTTCATATTGCGGCAGTTTCTATGATAAATATGGCAAAATGGATGCATCTCGGTGAAATTATTTTTGTACGGTCAAGTTTACTCGGCAATGTAATCGCCCCTATTCGTTTATCGATCAAAGATACGCGCGTCCCGTCTCGTTTCGTTGGCAGAACAATCTTTAAGTAGTCAGCAGTTTCCAGGTTACATCTTCACGGTGGTGAAGACTAAATTTCTTTTCGCCGAAGGGTCCGCGACAATATTTCTGTTTTCTTCGGATTTTTCTGTTTCAAAGACACTCACGCCCCAGGGCGCTGCCGAAAGTACCGCAGATAAATTTGTGGGCACCGAAACCGCGAGGAGGAATACGGGGATTCACTGAGCCAGGTTGGCTTTGCCACCGAAATCGGATGGCTGCTCTCTTTATCTGCCGTTCGACGGTACAATTTTTTTTTCCTCGCGCACGATCCGACGTGTTCGTCTCGCATCTGCATAGAGATTGGATCGCGGCGGTATATATATTTCGGTTTGAGGGCGCGAAAGCTTAATATTCGTCCGCCGAATCTCGCGAAAATCGCGCGGGATTGAGCGAAACGAGCGAGACGAGATTAACGGAAAGCTTGCGTAAGTTTTCATCTTCGACGACATGAAAGCATTATCTTTGTTGTCCTCGATTAGAAACGACGGGGGAAAGACTGCGAGGATTTCGGGACGAATTTATGACCGGTCGATCTCCCGCTGACGATAATATGTAAATACGTACAATATTTCCAGGGCTGGGAAAGTAACTCGTTACTTGTAACGAAGTTACAGTCGCAATCACTTTTGTTTAGCAACTCTAACTTAACTTCGTTACTTTCTCTCCATCTGTAACTGCAACTTAACTCAGTTATATTTTTTCGATAACTAGTAACTAATTTAATAGTTATATTATATATTTTTATTAAACCTCCACAGATCGCATTAGGCCTCGCCGTTGCGCATGAACGCCTTTATCGACACTTTACAATTCAAATGCAAATTTGACACTTTTATCTTCATTGCAAGAAAGTAACCGCAAGGTAACGATTCGTTACTTTCTGAGTAACTGTAATGCGTTACTTTTCAGAATTGGTAACTTGTAAC